GGTCAGGTCAGGCAGAGCTGCCTCCCCTCTTCCCACAACACACTTAAATCCCTGTTTATGAAAACTGGTGAGAAAAGAAACTATTGATCTTAAAAACTAAACCAAAAACCAGAAAAAGCCAAGTTCACTTATGAACACAAATATAAAAATCTTGGCCCCAAACTAACCCAAACCAAATAAATATCATGATCAGGTTGTGTTCCTCAGGGACACAATAGTTGGACGTTGGGATATCCAAACGCATTGCCTTTCCACCAAATGAAAGAAGAAAAAGCATGTGAACAACTCAATAGATGGAAACAATAATTTGATCTAATTAGACTGTATGATTTCTTAAAATCCCTCCAAAACAACTAGCAAACAGGGTTGGAAGAAAGCTGTCTTAACTGAATGTACGTAGCTTATTAAAAAGAGCCAAAAAACCTCAAAAGAGCTATAAAACAGTAAAAGAATTTTACAAAATGGCCTTCCCTGGTGGTGCAATGGGTTAGGATGCAGCACTGCAAGCTGGCCACAGCTGCTTCCGTAGAGTTCGATCCCCAGCCCAGGACCTGACCCACACGGTGCAGCAGACCTCTCCTGTCCCGCCTGCTGCTCCCCTCAGCAGTGTACTTTCCTGATCTGCCTGTTTTGTCTGCTCTCCACTCTCTCTGGTGAATCCTCTCATCACCCTTGCACCTCTGGCCTGTACCCCAGTTCTGTATGCATAAATAAATATATCTTTAAAAAAAGAATTTTACAAAATGAAGAATGACATAAAACTTATATACATATATATATAATATTTTAAAGTTAGTAATAAAAAAAGATTGCTCTAACACTGTTTCAATTCAATATGATACAGTATTTAGTCTCATGATAAGATTACAGAATGAATCAATAAAAAAAGAAAAAAAGAGGAAAAAAGGATGTAAAAATGTCAAAGGAAGAAGCAAATTGTCACTATTAATGGATGATGTGATTTATTTATAGAACACCTCAGTAGAAGTAACAAGCTAACAAGAAGATTCTCACATTTTCTGACCCCAGCCACACGCCAGGCTGAGCAGGGTCTGTGCTCAGGCCCCAGCTCAGAATCCCGGAGGGAGCCAGGTTGCTCTAGGGCAAACTGATGCTTGCTTTCCTGTGTGACCCTCACACCGCAATTCCTGCATGCCTCAGCTGTGAGAAATGCAATGGCGGCTGCTCCAGAATCGTTATCAGGATTACATGAGTTAATATTTGTAAAAGCACTTGGAACACATACGACTTCACTCAATAAAGAAAAATAGTCAAAAATCAATAGTGATTTTAGATGCCAGCAGCAAAGTCAGAAAATGAAATTACAAATACACATAAAATCTTGCAAATAGTACTACTGACCATATTTTATAGGTGAGGAAATTAAGGTTCACAAATAAGTTAAGTAATACATCCAGATCAGAGTCAGGATCATTTTTCCTGCCTTTCTGAGAGCATGTAGTGGTTTCATAAGAAGAAAATAGCTGAGTAGCTGACAAATGTAGAATTAAACAAATGGACTCATCATACTGCTGAATGGAAAGAGTCAGCCTCATGCAAGATCACAAGGCCAGGAAAATCCTGAGTGAAGCTGTGTGTGTGTGTGTGTGTGTGTGTGTTGCTGGGGCACTGGGGAGACCTTACCAGATGTTAAAATGGAATTTAAAGCCTCTATAATTAAACAATGTGGAGTTAGTGCATGAATAACCAGACTAATAGAATAGAATAAAAAGTTCAGAAATAGACTCAAGTGCCCATGGGAATTTAATTTTACAAATTAGGAAGACAAAAAAAATGGACTTTTAACTAAATGGCTTTAAAACAACTGCTTAGCTATTTGCATAATGGTAAAAATAGATTCGTACCTCACTCCATATATAAAGGCAAACTCCAAATGACAGAGATCAAATTGCAAAAATGAAACCATAAAAGTGGCAGTAGAATATTGGGTGAATTCCTTATAACTTGGGCATGGGGTGTACTATGATTTAACAATCTAAAAACCTATAAGTGCAGATTGATATATTAGACTTCAAGTGTTTTTTTTGTTTGTTTGTTTTGTGTTTTTTTGCATGACAAAAAATTACATATTGCTGATGGAACACAAAACGCTACAACTTGTACAAGAGGGATTTGGTAATTTCTAGAATATTTACAATCAAACATATATTAGCTGTTTGATTCAACAATACCATTCTTAGGACTGTCTCAAAGACATAGGTGTAAAAATTCAAACTGCTGAGTTTCCAGAGATCTTCACGTCATGATCCCTGGCACCTGTGATGATGTTACTTTACATGGGAAAAGGGAGCAACTTTGCAAATATGATTAAAGTTAAGAACCTTGAAATAGGGAGACCACCCTGGATTTGCTTCATGGCTCAATCTGAGCACACAAGTCCTTAAAAGCAGAAAATGGATTCGACGGAGGGAGGAGAGTTGAAGCCTGAGAAAAACTTGACTGGTCATTTCCGACTCTGAGGACAGAGGACGGGGCCACAGGCCGAGGAATGTGACGGCACTGGGGGGGTGAGAGCAGCTCTCCACGCACAGCCTGCGTGGTTCTAGAACTACAAAGAAGGGAATTCCACCAACCATCGGTTGAGCAAGGCGCTGGGCCCTCCAGGTAGGAATGCCATGCTGCTGAAGCCTTGTCTTGAGTCCATGAAATCCAACTTGCAAGATAATACAGTTCAAGCCACTATGGTGTGGGTAGTTTGCTACTACAGCAGTAGACAACTAGTGCGCGTCCCAGACACCAAAGCGGAGGGCCAGTTTGATAATAAGCCTTGGCTCACTCCCATGCGGGAAGACTGTGCTGTTGTAAAGGGGTGTGGACACACAAGGTACAGAGTGATCTTTGGGGCTGTTGGCAGTTGAAGAAAGGAAGGCACAGCATGTGATGATAATGTGAGCAAGAAGGTGGGCATAGATATGTATATTTGCTTGTGCTGCAAAAAAAACCCAAAAAGAATAAACCGAAAATCTAATTTGGGGTATTTGGGGGAGAGAAGCAACAATGTTAAAGGAGATGAACGTTAAAGGATGTTAAAGGATGAACGTGAACTTATATGAATATGCCTTTGTTTTTATAATTTAGTATTTGAGATCATGTAAATCAGCGACATGCTGAAAAACATATTCTATTTAAAATGTTTTTAAAAAGTAAAATGATTTTTAAAGAAAGCAATCACTAAAATTTGAAGCAAAAGAGCAAAACAAAACAAAAACTCTGAAATGAATAAACCTAATTTTGTATTTAGTTGGTGATATAACTGCACAGAGAAAAGAATTCAGAATTCAGTATTTTGACTGTACATCCACAGTGGAATACAGTCTAAGGAACAAAAAAAACACTTACATTGCATTTAGTAGCCTTATTGTTAGTGGTGGCATTGAAATTACAATTTGAAAAGTCTTTGTATAATAGTAGGATAAAGAAAATGAGTAATTATGTTAATATTAAAAACAATTTTAGCATATGAAAAAGGTAAATTTAAAGTTAAGTAATCTTAAATTTGAATTGGAAATATCATTATGATCTTGTAATGTTTCAAAAAAGTATGTATTTTCTCTCTGTGTCCACTGGAAAGGTTTAGAAGCAATAAGCACCCTTCATACTGCACACCATTCTTTGCCTAATACCCAGGGTCTTTAAATACCATTTGACACTAAACATGCCAGGTAAGGAGCCTGAAGCTCAATTTGCACTTGGGGCAGGCAGTCATAGGCAATCCTGAGGCACCTACTGTATCAGAAAGCAAAGAAATCATCGAAGATTGGAGTCCTCTTGTCAAAAGCATAGAACATGAAGGCCTGACCCTGGCCAAAGATGGGTCAATGAGTTCAAAAGAATAATAACTGCAGGTGATTAAAAGGCACTGACTATATTAAAAATGGAATATTAAAAATACTGGGAGGCCCTCCCTGGTGGCACAGTGGGTTAAAGCACAGCACTAAGAAGCTAAAGCCACTTCAGCATGAGTTTGATCACTGCCCCAGAGGAGATCCACATGGCGAGGCAGACCTCTCCTGACCCGCCCGCTGCTCCCCTCAGCAGTGCACTGTGTCAGTCTGCCTGCTCTGCTCCCCACTCTGTCTCTGGTGAATCCTCTCACTGCCCCTGCACCTCTGTCCTGTACCCCAGTTCTGTATGCATAAATAAATAAATCTTAGAAAAAAAACACATACTGGTAACTTAGGAAAGGAGATAGCAATGTGGGGAAAAAAGAAAGAAAAATTTATGCAACATCAAAAGTAACAAGATGAGGCCCTCCCTGGTGGTGTGGCAGGTTAAAGCACAGCACTGAGAAGCTAAAGCCGCTTCCACATGAGTTTCCACATGCCCCGAGGTGACCCACATGGCGTGGCAGACCTCTCCTGACCCGCCCGCTGCTCCCCTCAGCAGTGTACTTTGTCAATCTGCCTGTTCTGTTCCCCACTCTGTCTCTGGTGAAGCCTCTCACAGCCCCTGGGCCTCTGCCTGTACCCCAGTTCTGTATGCACAAATAAATAAATCTTAAAAAAAAAAAATCAAAACTATACTAAAGGCTAAAAAAGACTAAATTAAAAAAAAAAAGAAGTAACAAGATGATCAGTTTACTTTGAAATGGGCAATTAAAGGAAAAGGATTCAGCATTTATCCTGTCTTCCTGTTTTTAGAGTAACTAAATAGCTCAAGGAATGAAGGGAAGTGCTTCTTTTCAGACAATAGCTACTAAAGCAGGAGAGATGGATTAAAAAATATCATTTTGAGTATTGTAACAAAACAATTCAGACTAAGGTCACTGAGGCATGAGATCATCAGATACAGGGCTGGTGGGGAGCGGCAAGGTCTCCAGTCTCGGGCTCTCTGGCCCCAAACACTGTCAGCTCCCGGGCGGCTGGGGCAGCTCCAGGCTGCCAGTCACTACACTACAGGGGTGTCACTCAGCTGCTCTCAAGGAGGGACTCCAGATCACTCCTACGGAACTGGGCCCTCAGCTTCCCGGAGACACATACCTGTCCCTCCACGATCCACCTGGAGATGGATGTCTTGCCGTCGTAGCCTGGTCGGAACTGAAGAGTAGCTGAGCGAGGGCTGATGTTGGAAATGACCAGATTGGATGGAGCACCAGGAAGCTCTAGAGATAAATGAGAGAGGAAAGGCAGAGATTTAAATTCTGTCACAGTTTAGGAAATGTATCAAACATGTCAGCAAGTAAACAGCCTCAAAACACCGTGACACCAGAAACAGGATTAGTTTGCAAAACCATGAAAAGGAGACACAAAACCTTCCCAAGGATGTGATCACAACATAATTCTTACTTTACTAGGGTCACCCATCAGGTTCCACATCACTGGAAGTGGCTTTGAAGCCATATTCAGATAACCTCTTAGACGATAAACTCTGAAGGTGGGGATCGTCTCATCCACCAACGAACACAGAGGTAATCGATAGATACTTGGATGAAGAAAGGATGAATAAGTGTAATTCTTCCAGGATCCTACACAAACATAGGGGCATTGATGTCTGCCCTCCTTTTTATGACTGCCCCATGGTCTTGGAAAGAGAGTGGGGACAGGAGACAGGAGCGCGACCATGACCTGGTGTCACTTCCAGCGGGAAGGCGTGCGGGTCCTGGCTGAGGCTTCCTGGGACTGGTTTCCAGGACAACCCAAGTCAGGTGAACGTGCAGAGCTCTGCACACTCTGTGATCAGTTGCTCTGGTAACTAAGTGACAGGAAGGTAGCTCTGAAGGAGGCGCCCATGGCGTGCCTACTCCTTCAGTGGGCTGTGCGCCAGAGAGCCTGTCCCCATCAGAGCGACGTACGCGACTCAGAACGAGCGCTCTTACACTGCTGAGCAATTCAGACTACGCATTGCACAGCATGACGGACAGAGGGAAGCAGAACGAGGCAACCGAGAGGCTGAAAGGGCTGTTTCCAGGCAGCGACGCCCTGCTATGTCCGCGCTTGGGGTATCTGAAGTCAGGTCTTGCACAGAGTCAACAAAACCACTTTGGTGATCAATTCAGTATTGGCACAGGCAAGCTCTCCAGGATCTCGAGGGTCCTTTCATATCCAGTTTAATGAGTTTGAAGCAGAAAATGTTTAAATCGAAGGACAAGTGACTCTCCTTTATATTCCTCAGCTCTCTGGCTTTGTAAATGGTTCTTTAGTCACTAATGGATGTAAACTTCAAGCACGGCAAACATAAGACAGTCCCCCTAAGTGACCATCATAATGTGATTTTGCTTCCAGTCAATACTTCGCATGCCCAGGGATGTCTCACGATCAGTCTCCAGCTGCAGGTGATCTGACCCGCAAATGAAGCCGCAGCGGCTCCGTGGCCCCCTTCACCTGGGGTACCAGAGGTGTCCCAGCAGCCGGGCACCTCTCCCCTCCTGTCCTCATGCTGCAGCGCAGCTCAGGTCACAGTAATCATGTGGGGGCTGGCGCAGGTCAGCGGGACCGTTGTACCACCCTGGCTGGACGGTGCTTGGCCATCCCAGAGAAAACCCTGGTCACACACACGGCCTCACTCCCAACGGGGTTCTCAGCTGCCGCGTGCAAGCAAAGTAAAGAACGCACCACCGCCATCATCACTCCCACGGAACAGTGACAATATTTTAAGCATGTGCTTTGGAACTGCCTTTAAACACTTTCAGTGTGTGCTGCGGGAGCTGACTGTCTACATGGGAGACATTAATCTTCCTGCAAGACAAAGAATTCCTTCGTTCAAGAAGAGAATTATTTTGTAAATGCCTTTTTAAAAATTACCACTTGCACCGACCCCACCTGAGAAGTTGTTCCACAGGCAAATTCTTCAGCCCCATCTCGTAGTCACAAAGTAGGTGAAAGGGAAAGGCCAAGCAATCTGTTTTTTACAAGCCCTGTGATTCTGAAGTCCTGGGTAGTGTCAGGACCGCTGCCTTAGACGGGGACGTGGGGCTGTCTAAAGGTGGGCAGAGACTGACTTCGGGACAATGCTGGGCTCAGGGCCCTGCTGGCAGTGGAGGTTGCTGGTGGTCTCCAGAAAGCGCCATTTGCAGGAAGAAAGGAAACAGGCCCCCTTGCTCTTCTCTGCCACCACACATGACATGGGCTGCTGGCTCATTACAGTGGAATGTGGAAGAGGCAGGAGCAGGGAGCAGGTTTATCACCGTGTGGGCTGTTTTTCCGCATACAGTCACTTGTTTCTATTCCCTTCAGGCCTTACATGTCACCGTCCCAGGACAGCAATTAGGTTAAGAAGACTGGACTGGGAGTGGGGGTTCACGATGGCCGGAAAGGGATCTTTCCATTCAGGCTCTGCACTTTCCTCAAAGACCAAACTAAAGCAAACTGGTGACTTTTAAATGGCAAGAGATTTATGGCTTTAATCTCAGAATGGAACTAATAGCTCTACAGTGCTTTCTCATGACAGGTGCTTGTGAATTCCTTGAAAAAACATTTTATTTTAAATACAAACTTTAAAGCTAGAGAGAAAGCGAGTTAATTTTCTCCAGCTGAAGTGAGAAAGCTGGACATTTAGGAAGAGATGTGGACATCACAAAGGATATGAAGGCAGGTGCAAGCCAAGGCCACACCAAAGTCAAATTCAGCCCGAGCACTCTGCCTACTTAGCAAGGACACTGCACCATCGCTCACATTTTTCTCCTGCTCTCTTTTTGCCTTTCCTTCCCATCATTCCCTGCTTTGTTTTTTAATCTCAAATTCAAATCTTCATTGTTTTGTTCAGTGAAGTTTTCACTTCCTGTTCTTAATTTATTATTCACATAACGCAAATAAAGTGGCATTTTTCTTTGGTGTGGTCCTCCACTTAGGCTCACACTTTACAGAATCCAGCTCTTTCCTTCCCAAAAGCATGTTCTTATAATCCACACCCCACAAAGAGGATGTCAAGCCACCGTCAGGCACTAGAAAACAAAGCTGACACTGGCATTGTCTGCTCACCCTAAGGATCCTGGCAGGCAGCTTCTGTACAAAGAAGTCCGTCACCTGAGAGCCACAAATCTCCAAGGGAAATGCAGAGGCAGGGAAAGCTTGTCGAGATCTTACTGACCTGGGGGCACTCCAGAAGAAATGGTGGACGATGTCGCCAGGCCAGGCCCCACGGCAGTGACGGCAGCCACTTCGATGGTGTAGGTGGTGAGAGAGGACAGCCCTTTGATCTTGTATTCATGAGTTGTGCTATTTAGAGTGTGTGAGAGATGAGAGTCGTTCTTACCATACACCTCCCAGGAAATCTGGTAGCCTGGAAATGGATAACAGGAGGGTTAATTGAGGTCCCCTGAAGGCCAAGACCTGAGGCTGGATCTGACACCTGTCACCTAAGCAGACCTGAGGCAACTCCGATGAGCGCCCATGCCCTACAGGAAGGGGCTCCTTCCTCTTGCTCCCCGAGTCTCTATGGCACCACTTTTTTTTTTTAAATTTTATAATTTTTTTTTACATATTTTTGTGCATTTTCCATCTCAGTTGCAACCCCCTTGGGTTTCCCATCACCACATGGCACCACTTCTTAGCCCATAGGGGTCCTGTCCTCTGACAGTGAGCCACAGAGGGTAGGGGGCGTGCAACATTTGGGGAATATTTGCGCCCAGGACAGGGAAAAAAGAAGAAAGTCTGCCAGTCTGCTGGCTCAATCAACCTTCTCTTGTGAAGTTCTGGGTGCCTTTCATCAAGAGTTGCGTTTTATAAGGTGCCGCTTTCATTACGTAGCGCCCAGTCAGTAGCCGACACTGGGGTTACAGCTAACTGGCAGACACACTGCTCCTTCTCCATGAGATGAGCTGTTGGCACTCTTACGCTGAACAGAGTACTTTGCTTCAAGTGTTCTTATTGAGCACACGAGTCTTTCTTCTAGTTCTCTTTTTGAATCTCCTGGTTTTCTAGTGAAATCTGATTTCCCCTGTACTCTGTTCAGTCCAATGGGGCCTCATAATCACAATTTATTCAGCCTCAGATTCCATCATGATATGGGTCTCAGAGAAAAAAGGCCCAGTGAGCTCCCGAATGGGCCCCACGGAGGGGAGTTTTTGTGATCAGAACAGGGTGAGGAGCGTCTGGTAAAGGGGAGACAGTGATGGAAAGAGCTCCCGAGCCCAGAGACAAAGGGAGGCTGCAGAAAGTGTTTGCTCTTCTTCCCAGCCAATGAGCGCCAGGTGCTGGGGTGCTGGGAGGCGTCTCAGCACTTTCTCTTTCTCATGAAAGCAGTAAATACAGTTAGAAACTTGTGCTCACAGGCACATAGGTATTTAGAGGCGACTACCTCGGGACTTTAATATTTTGGAAAAACCTAATCTCAGAAGCCGCTGCCTGCCCACCCGCCTGCCACCCCACAGACCCCGGCGGCCCAGCACCGCTGTGCATTGCACCAGGGCTCCGGAGCTGAGGGACATGTGAGGAGCAGGGACAGGCAGGCGCAGGCACATGCCTGGTGCCTCTACACACACCACAGCTCTCAAATATGCCAGCTGCCCGACGGCTGACCCTGAGGGCCGCTCATGCCTAAACTGGTCTCTGCGTGTGGCTCTCCGCTTGCCCCTGGGCCTGGTCATTCCTCTCCCTCACGGGCTCGTCCAGGCCCCCCACACAGCTGCCCTTCCCACCCCAACCCCAACCTTAGAGCCCCCATGCTAGCGCCTGAGGCTTCAGAGACTCCTCCTGAACCACCCTGATGGCTAACGCTGCTTATTCTCACCGGCCAGGACTGGGAACAAAATGTACTGTGAAGACAACTGCAAAGCTGTGGGCAGAGGCCACGCATGGCTCCAGTGCAGAGTGCTGCGGCCTCTCTGTTGTGTTAGTCAAGCGTCATGTGTGTTAATTCATCTAATCCCACAGTAAACCCTGAGGTCAGACCCATGTTCATCCCCAGTTCACAAAGGAGAAAACCAAGGTGCGGTAAGCTGTGAACTTGCCAGAGGCTGGGGGATTTCTAGGGTTTTCCAGGCTTCTCATGGCGTCTCCTGCTGTGCCACCTTCTCTCCCACAGAGGCGGGGACCGAAACCGTCCCTGACAGTGCTTAGGTCTGAAACATCTCTGATTGTCTGGCACTCAGGGACTACTGTGAGTGGACAGGAACGGGGCTTGTTCAATAGCACACCCTTCCCTGTCACACAATTGTATTTATTTAAAAGCTGTACTGCAGCAAAATTCAACAAAACACATCATGGCAGCCTGGAGCCCAAACACAGCAGTTCCAGCACCTTTGGTAATTGCTGGGGTTTATTAACATCAAAATCAATAATTTGGTATGTTATAGTTGTTGAGGATGTAAATGAAACCGAGACCCTCATCTACCCAGATGAGAAATGAAAAAAAACACCAGAAGAAAAGTGCCAACTTCGGTGCCTGAGAAGGGGCCGTGCGAGGCTGACAGCAGTGGCCCGTGGGGCACAGGGGCCCTCCGCTCTTCCTGGGGGGTGCACGGAGCTGCCGGGAGTGTTCCCTCTGGCTCCTGTTTGCAGAGAGAGGCGCCAGGAGCCAGCCGCTGCGGGAGCAGGGCCTCCAGCCGCGCCCTACCTGCTCTGAGCAGCTGCCTAACTGAGACTAACGACCGGAGGAGCTTCTGAAATAATTTTCTGTTGATCTGAAGTAAATTCCCTACAAGAGAGCAGTACATCCAATCACAAACTGTCTGTCTGCATCCCAGTCCTCATAAATCAGAGTTTACGGAGGGAGAGTGGGAGAGGTTGAAATTTACAATGAGAGTGCAGTGGGCAATTTTCTGGGGAAGTAGGGGGGCCACCCCCTACTCAGCGTTTCCCTCTCCTTGGCCCCGAACTAAAACAAGGCACAGGGGAAAGTCTCTGGCTTCCCAGCACCAAGGCTGATAGTCTCATTTCCTAGCAGGCATCCAGCATAAGGGCCTGTACAAAGGCCCAAGCTACTCCGCTGGCATCTGCCTCTGACGACCACCTACGGTGTCAAAGGGAAGACGGGGAAGGATGGCAATGCCACATGGACACTGCCTGAAAATGGCTTTCGCAGCCGGGTTTGTCTACAAACATGGGTTTTCTTTTGCTGCACTGGGTAAAATCGGCCGTGGAGCTATTGGCAAACTGCACAGGAGGCCCAATTCGATTCAGAGGGTGCTAACCTGTTTGGGGGGCCAGGGCCAGCCTTGCTTGGGGCAGGTGCTGCCGGGACAGCCAGTGAGGCACAGGACACAGATGTCAGGCCTCACCTGCAGGCGGGCCTTTTCCTCCACGGCGCTTCCAGAGCACGGCAGCCCTGGGACAACAGGCACATATATGGTGTCAGGGGGTGGGGGTAGGGCAGGCCAGACAAAGTGAGAGGGGGGCAATGCGACCCCAAGAAGGACAAAAGCAGCCCTGATGGAGCGAGCCCCCAGCCCAGGATCAGGCGTGCAAGCTGCCTGCTGGATTTGACTCCAAACGCCAGAGCTTTGAAGGTCAAGTTTCACAATAAACAATAGACTGCTGCTTGTAACTATAGGTGTTTGTTTAAATAAAATACGAAAATGAGTTCATTAAGCCCTAATAGTTGGAGAGCACAGATGATCATAAATTGGAACTATTGGCAACCACCGCTTAGCTGTGAAATGTTGGCTCAACTCAAGTGATTACACCCAAGGGTTTTCCTTTCAGATTTAAAACAGAAGCCAAGTGTGCAGTGGTCTGAAAGGCCAGGGCGGCGTGGAAGTGCGCATCGGTAAGAGCCCTCAGACCGCTGCAGCCGAGTCCTCGCCCGCTCTGCCCCACGCCAGGCCATTCCAGAGCCACAGACTTTCAGCACAGGGCCTGCGCACAGCAGGCGTGCAGAGCACATGTGCTGAAGAGGAAAGACCACCTCGCTGCTCTGAGCCTCAGTTTCCTCATCTGCAACACAGTTCTGATCTCCATATTTACTTCATTGTGTTTCTCTGATGATTAAGGGAGATAAACGTGTGTGGGATAATACACCATAAAATGATGGATTCTTGTGATCAAGGAGACTTGAGAGGCTCGGCAAGAGAACGCAAGGAGAACAGCTCTGAATGCTGAGGTTGGAGCCCGTGCCGGGGAAGGCCCCACGCGTGGCTAGGCTTCTGGGGCTGGCCCTGGGGGTCACCAAGCCCCAGGCAGACATGGCAGGAGCTAAAACCACAGGCACACTCTGTCGGCCGTTCTGCAGGAAGCCATATGGGCCTCCCTGTGTGGGCACAAACTTGCTTTTCCTTTTTTCCGAAGATGGGGACTCTCACCTGTAATGATGCCGTTTTTCTCCAGGGGCTCCTGCCAGCTGACCTTGAGAGATGTGTCCAGAATCTCTGTGAAACTCAGATGTCCCACAGCTCCTGGTTCTATGATTAAAAATAAAGGCCTCTGTTACACAACCACCTCCATCTCTTTGGGTCAGATGTGTATGGCAAGCTCTAATTGCGGAAGGGAGCCAAGCCAGAGGCTGCAGGAAATATCAAGACCCGCCTGGAAGGGAGGAGGGAATCCGAGGTGCTAAAGACCTGAGGCCGTGGTCACATCAGTGAGTTGACACAGCTTCATCATGGTCATGTTGCCAGGCAAGAGAAATGGGGCAGCAGGCTGGATCAGTCGTCCTCGCCTTTCTCCTTGATGCATCTACTAGACCGACTGGGTTGGCTGCATCCTGAGAAGCAGTCACCTATATGCTTCGTCCCTGGAGGTGAATCTGCATTTGTGTGTTTGGTTTGTGTGGAGCCATGAGCCAGGTGAAGCCCAGTGTCTGGTCTACACCTGGTTGCAGGTGACACCGGTGCTCCTGATACAGAAGTCCAAGTGTGTCCCCCGTTGGGCACTCTCCCCAGGAACTTGACCGTGGCAGGGTAGGGGTCTGAGAAAGTTCCAGCAAAAGTGTGTGCTTTTTGCAGGGATCTTTTGGCACTATGGATCCCCGCTCCTAACACAAGGAGGTAGAAGAACAGAAGGTGGTTTAAAGCTGGGCCAGCACTGATCTGGAACCTGGCTTTGCTGCTTGCTACTGTGCAATTATTTAAACCTGCTAAGCCTTAGTTTGCTCATCTGTGAAATGTGAGAATAAAAATAACTCATTCCGCCATGTAATGGTGAGAATGAAGTTTAACAAGACATGAAAGCAGGTAGCAGGTCTCTGGAGCCCCAGAAATGCTTACCAATGTTGGCCGCTATCTTTAGGATCGGCTGCCAGCCATACACTCGGAATATAAAGTAATTTTTCCGATGAGCTTATTGCCGCTTGGAAAAGCATGTGAGAGAAGGAGACTTGCGAAGCTAAAACACAATATAAATAGATGCAGAAGCATGGATTCTCAGACCCCGGACATTACAAATGTCTCCCACTTCACAGCTGTGGAATCGAGGCTGGGTCCAGATCAGTCTGGGACACACAGCACACAGATTTCCCTAGAGGGACAGTAGGACAGAACAAATCACCCCTGGATGCAACTTCGGAGGTGTCCAGGGGCTTCTGACCCTGCTCATGCTTCAGCCTTTCTGGCTTTAGAGACCTTCATTGCTCCCCCAACACACCCAATTAGCCATCTCCCCCAATACACTCCCATGCAGTGGTCATGGGGAGAGGCTTCCCCATAGTTCGGAGGTGACTGAAGGGGTGACGGAGTGACCCTCTCACTGAAGGCTGGTTGGTCCCAGCTCTGCAGGGTATGGGAAGCAGATGGAATGGGGGGTAGGGAGTGGGGACTGAAAGGAGCTGGTTCCACTGTTGACTGAGCCAGGCATTGTGTGGGTGCCTGGCAAAACTAAACGTCACTTAACTGGGAAATATGGGCTTTGCTCAGGCCAGTTCTGCTCTCCTCGCTACTTGTCTCCCTGTCTACACTCTCAGAACCCAGTTCAGGAGAAATGCGAGGGACAAAGTGGAGGAGGAAGAATGGAAGGTTCAGAGGCAGACTCAGAGACAGGAGAAAGGGCGGGTAGAAGCCGGTGCCAGCTCCATCTGGTGGCACACACCCCGCGGTGTGGCGGCAGGCAGCTCCCGTGGAGAGCACGTGCCACGTGGCTCCTGGTGACCTGAGTCATGCCACAATGAGAGCTTTTTCATAACCGCTAAATGCAATTTTTAAGCTTAAAATAGGAGAGCATGAAATCCAGGATGCTGGTTTCCTGCCAGAGAGCAGAATTCTGGGGATCCTGAAGATAATAATATTCAACCTCCTTTCTGCATACCTACTGTCAGCTTGCTCACCCAGTTGGGGGATTTTTAGGTGAATCCAATATTTAGTTCTCAGCTGGTATTTGGTTGAAGCCTCCAAACATAACCGGTGATTTTTTAAAAAATGGTATCAGCAAATGTTCATCTGGGTGAAACTTTCAGAGGACTTTTGATGGTGAGCTCAAACACTCTGACAAATTTCCCTCTTTGAGTGTGGAAGATGGTAAAATAGAGTGGCTGTCAAGACCATCTCATCCTCTCCCAATTTTGAGTTTCCAGAAAGATATTCTGACAGATTTTGAACTGACTTGTTCTTTTTTTCGATCGATAGAGTAGCAAGAAAGCTTTTTGCTCTTTTTATATTCTCAGTGTTTCTGCTCCCTGGATCCCTGCCCACACATGCTGTCCTCGCTCTCGGCTGCAACAGCTGCAATGCTGGGCTTAACATTGACACCATTTCCCCTTTACTGTGCTGCGCCACACCCCCAAGCCCACCATGTTCTTATTTCATCGGTGCTTTGGAAGACGTCCCGCGGGATGTGGAACCAGCCACACACCTTTAGCAGGTGTGCTCTGGGACCCCTCCTCTGGCCATCCGGAGTCCTCTGCCCTTTAGCCTGTTTCAAGCCTGGCTTCTGCCTTTCCATGAGGGGGTTCACATTTACAAGGTGTTCTTTCCTTCTAAACAGGGTAAACAGACTTCCTGCCTAACAAAAACAGTGATTCTGTTAGAAAACTGCAAAAATGATGAGCTCACTTCCAGCTTTTTCAGTTCCTAAGAAAGAAATCCCCAATTTTCTTGTTTTACTTACCAAATTCCAATGACTTATTTTGCTGTATTACATGTTCTATTTCTTAGCTACAGAGCTTGGGGTGTGCGTGTGTGTGTGTGTGTGGGGGGGGTGTCTCTTCATAGTTCTAGTCTATAGCTAAAGGGAAAAATGTGCTTTTTTATAAAGAGAAGAGTTCAGCAAAAAGCCTACTCTGTTTTAATTTGAAGTTTACTTTTTATTTTAAAATATATCCTCTGAAAAGAAAAACCTGTGATTCGAATGAGATGTTGCTCTTGCCACTTCTTTCACCAAGTGAAATAGAGGAAAATGTCCAACAAATACTTGGAACAGTTATGAAGGGGGTGCCTGAGAAAAGCTCTTGAAATTTATTGCCACCTTGCAGCTATCTGCCTTACTAGAAATCTCCCTTCCCATGTCATCTATAAATATATAGGACTTAGGCCATGCTTTCCTATACAGGAGTGGAATTCTACCCTTTGCCTAAGCAAGACTCCTTTTCCTCTTCCACAGATCCTGCAAGGATATCTCACTCTATACTCTAAGTCCCCAAAGGCTGAACCTCTTTGGAAACCAGCCTCCTTGCATCCAAGCACACCTCCAGTCGCCCCCTTCTTTTATGTCTCCCTTCCAATTTGACACCCAAAGCAACTTCACCTGCTTAGGTGGTTTTAACACTAAGGGTCTTATACATTAGAAGCTCTGATAAAGAATTAACTTTAAATCTTCCCATCTGTAGTTAGACCTTGCATTCAGTGATATTTCTCTAGCCTTTTTTTTTTTTAAATAAGATTATAATCACTAATTGCTGGGATTCAGACTTCTGCCTGCTCACTTATGTCACCATGATATGTAAAACTGGGTATTTCTCAACTAGATATCTGATCGCCACTCGGAATGTGTATTCCACATCTTGGTGACTGGTAATAAATACTGTCTTACGCAGTCACAGAAACCCAAGTATTTTGAGCCACCCTCGAGAATACCTTTAACCACCTCCCAAACCTAGTCATTTTCTACATTTTCTGTGGCAGCTCTCTAAATCACTGTCCCCACTGTCTGTGGGTAGGTTCTCATAATTTTGTGCCTTTTTCCAGCTTCTTTCACTTAAAGTTCATGACTGAAAAAAAGATTCCACATCAGATACACATTATTGTTTTTCAAGTTCTCATGAAACATTCACCAGGATTGATCATATCCTGAGCCATAAAGCAAATCAATTAATTTAAAAGAACTGAAATTACACAGAATGTGCTCTTGACCTAATTGAAACAAACTAGAAATCAATAACAAAAAGACACGAGGAACATCTCCAAACACATGAAAATTAAATACACATTTCTAAATAGACCAGAGGTTAGAGAGGAAGTCTCAGAGGAAATAAATATATATATAACTGAGTGAAGTGAAACACAAAATATCAAAATATGTGTGGTTCAACTTAACTAGTGAGGAGAGGAAATTTTTATAGCACTAAATGTTTATATTAGAAATGAAGACATTTCTTACTGAGTGCTGATATCAAGAAATGTAAAAAAGGAAAAAAAAAAACTAACACAAGCCAAAGGAAGGAAATAAAAAGAAAAAGAGCAGAATCAAAATTGAAAACAACAAAGAAAAATAAAACTAGTAAATCTTTAGGAAGAACAAAAAAATAAATCCATCACCAATATCAGGAATGAAACATTATATATTCTATAGCCATTAAAAAGATAATAAGGGAATACTATCAATAATTTTATACTCACAAATTCGACAACCTACAGGACAGATCACAAACTATCATAACTTGGCCAAGATGAAATAGAAAACTGAATGATATTAAAGAAAATGATTCAGAATTTTAAAAGCTCCTCCAAATGAAATTTTTAGGCCTAGAGGTATCACTATAACTTCTAAAGATTTACAGAAGTAACATCATTTTACACAATTTCTTTCAGAAAAAAAATAGGAGAGAATACTTCTGAACTTATTTTACTCTGATACCAAAACCAGACCAAGGCAGTAAGCACAGGAAGATAAAGTAACAAACAAACAGCTCATGAATAAGTAAATGCAGAATATCCCTCATAAAATACTAGCTAACAGAGTCCAACAACATAAAAATAATTATACACTGTGACCAAGTTAGAATTTATTCCAAGTAAGCAAGGCTGTGTCAAAATTTGGAAAGTCAATCCACCATGTGAATAAACAAACTGATCTGAAAATTATATGATTATATTAACTGATGCAGTAAAAACATTCGAAAAGATCCAACATTTAATCATAGCATCAATGCTCAGCAAGTTACTAATGAGATTTACTCCAATGATAAGAATATCTATTAAAAAAATCACACTTAACCATGAAAGACTGAATGTTTCTCAGCATTTACTTTTTTCTCTAAGACTGAGAACATGTAAAGAATGTCCACTTTCTTTACTTTTATTCAACATAATATTAGAAATTCTAGCCACTGCAATAAGACAGGAAGAAATATCAGAATATATTTTAGGAAGAAAGGGATGGTAGTGGGCATAGCTATAAAAGAAGGATCTCTATGGTGCTGGAACCACTCAGTATCTTAATTGTGATAGCTGAGACACAAACCTACTCATGTGATAAATTGTATAGGCCTAAGCACACACACACAAGAACAAATAAGACTGGGATTCTTTAAATCAGAACAAAGGATACATCAAGGTAAATATCCTGGCCGTGATATTTGACTACACTTTTGGAAATGTCACCAATGGGGGAATCTGGGCAAATTAGATGTGGGTTCTCCAAATAACTTCTTGCGGCTACATGTGATTCTGTAACACTCTCAATAAACAATTCAGTTAAACAAAAAACACATTACTAATTAAAGGTTAGTTGGGAAAACCAAGAAATGCATGTCTTATTCTCCCTGTGCCACCAATTTGACATGGACCTTAAGTCAATGGCGAGGTGGTGACAGTGGGTGCTGGAACGAAGAACAGACCATCAGGGTTATGGGGAGTGAAGCCGTTATGTAGGAGGTCACAATAGTCATTAATACTGAAAGGAAATGAGCTAAGCAGGTCACTGGATGGAGCAGCACAGTTGAGGAATTGCTACCTCTGGGTGAGGGAGACATGGACATATTTGTGGCTGAGGGAAGATCAGTGTACCCATCCTCTGAGAACAAAGGAAGAGGTAAGGGGTGAGAACACTGGGAAGCTGAGTGGAAGGGGAAAGTGAGGCAGCTCATCTTAGATGGCCTTCAGAGGACAGAGAAGCTGAGAGAGCAGGAAAGGAGAGTAAGGGACACAGCACCAAGCAGGTAAGTAAGAGGCCGACTACACCATTCTGGTGAGACAGGAAGAAGACAGAAGAGAGACAGTGGTGGCTCTGCACCTTAAAAAAATAACTTATAACAGTTTTAATTCTCCTTATAAAGGGAGTACATATTTACTGAAGAAGTGATAATAGACAGAAAATATCTACAACCTCGCCACAGTGAGTTGATAATTCAAAATTGTGGTATATTCCCTTCAATGACTTTTCTCAGCTCATAGTTTGATGTAGAATTTAAATCTCATATAGTTTGGTACACTATTTTTTTTTTTCACTTAATATTAGAGCATCATCATTTCCACTCAGAACTTTTTCACTAATTCCAGAATATTTAACATTTTGTCATACCATATATATGTATTTTCAATTATCCCCCTTTGGAACATTTGAACACTTTGCATTCTTTTTCAATTACAAATACTTGTAATGAACCGCCTTGTACATAAACCTATGTGAACATCTGTGATAATTTTTTGAACATCATTTCGTTAGCTAATGTTTTCCAGAAGTGTCAGGTAGTCTGAGAACAGGGAAGGAACTGGTTTGAATTGACCAGATGCAGATATAGGAAAGTTGAGGAGCTCAGAATGACCCAGGTAAAATGCTTGGGGAGGGTGACAGGGGCATGGGCTGGAGGCATGAGTGGGGAAAGCATTGGCAGAGAAGCCCTGCAAAACCAGACTGACCACACAGCAAGGGCCAGGTGCTCTCTCTTGCCCTCCTGCTTCCCTCTAGCCAGGCTTCCTTCCACATTCCATGGACCAGATGCTATTTATATCTTCCCGTGACTCATCTCTGCAGCGCAAGTAGAATGCTGAGAATGTGGCGTTCCCTAATGACCGTCTCTGCCCTCATTCAGTGCTAGACATACTAGCACCGTTCTTCCCTGACAGAAGACGTGTGACTGTTGATAAGGCACATGGCAGATAAATACTCACTGTCTTCATGAGTCCGGATGAGCTGAGGAGTACTTGGAGGCCCATCCCCTGGAGTGGTGAAACACAGAACTGATGTGAAGTAAGCAGTAAACTTCTTCAAGTTAGTTATGTATCCGTGGTGGACTCCATGGAAGTCAGGAGCGATGGTGGCTACAGTGGTAACCTCAGGGGCATCTTCTGGCCATGCTAGAAGCTGGACAGACAGGTTGTAAAGGTATCTTTTTTAGTTGCATTTTTCCACTCTCAATTTTCTTTTGCAATCAATACATGCTCAGAGAAAACAAAGTCATAATTAAGAAAGCCCATACGTCTTACATTTAATGATATCACGTAAACACTGAATTTGAAATTATCTCAGATTAGGGAATACAAAATGTATTGTTATATACATTTTATATATGCATACATAAATAAGATCTACTTTAACTCACCGTGATAATACATGCTCCTTCAAATTTTTACTTTCTTTTCATTTAAACATATAGTCGAATATATACTCAACATCTGCTATTCAACTGGATCAGTACAAAGAAACATTAAGTACAGATATTTCCCCTGACAGGCACCTGCTCTGACTCCAGAAGAAGTCCCTGATACAATGGAAACAACTGTAATTATTTATAATTTATAGCACACTAGTTTTCTAATAATAACTGTAGGAATTGATTTGAATTTTAAAGAAATACAGCATATATACATGTTCTAAGGAAAGCTGTTCAACTGTTTTTGATAACATTATGTGTAAGTGTGACTTTTAATTACTTTGACACCCAACATTTCCAGGGTTTATTAGGTCTGAAAGCTGACTTGCCACAGGACATAAAGTGTATCTATATAGATCAAGCCAACAACTAAGCCATATAATGAATGCTCTGGTTTTGCCAATGAGACTTGAAGGCAGAATCACCTTAATCAATATGATTTTCTTTCAAAAAAGCTTTTGAATAAAGATACTGCTGGAAGAAAAGGGCAAAAATCTAGTAAAAAACAAGTGTCTTGCAAGTTGAATCTAAATAGGAAAAAAAATAAAACATGTGTCTGAAGAAATAACATTCGCTAAATATGAAATTCTTTATAGAGATCTTTTCTGAGTTTAGTTGTCATTGCAGACAATTAATGAATATGTTGTAAGGAAAATTAAGATGTGCTCCCGAGTCCAACCAGAAGTTGATGCAAAAATTAAGATAAGCTCTACTTTTGGAAATTGCACCCAAAAACATCTATGATAGTAACATGTTCCAGTAACTGCAAGGACAGAGGGTTTTGGGTCGTGGGAATGTGTCTCTGTCTTTTAGTCTATGTAGTTATCCTGATTCAGCTGGTCGCAGTTCTACTCCCTGAAGCAGAGAGGGGAAGTAAATATCCTTACTTGACAGAAATATTATAGTGGCATCCAGTACTCCTTGTTCTAAGTCTGTGTTCTGAGAGGACTCCCTTCCAGGAAGAAGTGATTTGTATAAATGCTATTTCCAATCCATGGAGATAGTTCTCTCAATGGTAATTTTTAAATGAACAGCCTTTCTCATTAGAAATTGTTCCGTTTATATGAGCCACTCTCTTGATAAGCCGTATTGAGTTTCTGAACAGTAGCTATAAGACCTTGCATAAATTGTGACCTCACCAAGGACAAATGCTCTATAACTAGAAGCGATGGGCTTTTGGTGAAATGAGGGGTGGGTAGCTTCCTAGCTGAATCATAAGACATGACACACCGAGACAGGGCCCCAGAGGCTCTCCACGAAACTCACATACCTTGTATCCCTGGTTGATGCCATTAATGAACTGCTGAGGGGGAGGCTTCCACAGGAACTGAATGGTTGTGGAATTCACAGCTTCCGCCTGCACATTCTGTGGGGGTGCTGTGGGCACTGTTCCAAGGCCATCACACAGTCGTCAAGGACAGCAAAACCACCAGTAGGAGGCACAGTCGTGAGAAGAGATGAAAAAGAAATCCTGAGCTACCACTTAGGATTCACTGGCAATTACAGCATTGAGAACAGGGGAGTGTGATGAATGCTTTTGGAAGCTAATAGTGGCATTACAAAGAAAAAGAATTGGGCTATTTCTCATTTTCTGTTGGAGAATTCTTCAAGGCATAGGCAGAAAAGTGGATGGATCTTCTCATTCCACAGGCGAGCCTTTCCTAGGGATCCCAAGATGGATAGCAAACAAAAGCTTTCTCTGATTTCTTTTTCAATTACCCAGTACTTGCGATCAAGGCAATGTTTCATCTAGAAATCCATCTCCCACTATATACCACTGGGCTTCAAGTCAAATTATCCTTTACATGAAAAAAAAAAAAATCCCCTTCCCATAGGTATTGTTGTTTATCCATTTGGAGACTAAATTTTTCTTTGTCTGTCATAAAGGAAAACATTAAAATTTTTTTCTATGTTTATTTCTTTCTTTTACTGAACAGCTACTAAGCCAAACTATATATTTGTATATGGCCTGTGTTCAAGGAATTCACATTCTCGGGGAGATACTGAGGTTGTTGTAAAACACGCAAACCACTTTCTGGAGCAGTCAGTAACCAGCTTTGGAAAGCTTCAGATCAGGAAACACCTGGCAAGGTCTGGAAGAAAGGGCTGACCTTTGAAGAGAGGAAGACCTGGGAAAGACATCCCCATCTGGGGATACACATTGAGCAAAGACATAAAAAACCTGGCAAAGGTGAGCATGGCTAGACATGAGGTGTATGGGGAGAAGGGCTTAATTAAAGGGGGCTACTTAGGAGGCTGGGGCAAACACAGTGATTAATAATGTACATGTTAGGCAATGGGGGATCAAAAGTGTCTTGAAAAAAAGCAAAAAACCCAAAGAACAGTGGTGTGACAGAGCAAGCTTTTAAAGGATGACAATCCTAGTAGTCAAAGTGGGGGTTAGCCCACTGGCTCTACTATCACATTTTCTGCAGGGTGAAAAGAAAGGTCTAGCTTCTTTAGGCTCTTATTTCAAGAGTAAGATACAGAAGCCCGAAAGATCATTTGGTTCAAGGCAAGAAAACAATGACAAGGGCCTCCTGGCACAGAGCACATAAAGACAGAAAACAGTTCTGTTAAAAATTACAATACCTTTCATTGTTCTTTTCTTCAAAAGCTCATCTCATTAAGCAGAGATGAAAATAATGTAACATTTATCCAAGTCCCTTAAGTCTACTCTTCCACGCTCTCTTTTCCAATCTGCTCTTGACTACGGCTATGCTATCCCTTGACACTTCCCTCCATAAGTCACCAAGAAAACTGTCCTACTTCCCACTCACCAACTATGCAATATTTGTGGATTAAAATGACTACAGGGATTGCTGTGTCTAAAATGTAGGAAGCTGGAGAGAACATAAAGTATACCAAAGGACAGGGAAAGACTGAATAAACTATAAAATCATAATTTTTCTGGAGCCCACAAGAAGCTGAGATCACAGGGCAACCAAGTAATCTGAAATATAAAGAAAGATGGATGTCCCCAAGGAGGCTGACGGTGGTATTGACTCATTTGTACGGAGCACAAGGGAAGGGACACCACAGAAGCAGGTAAGGGAAATTCAACTGATGCTTAATGAATTGCAACAGGTGATTGTGGGCTAGCACTGTAGTATGGGTGTTTGGATGCTGCAGATACACAAATATCATGCAATACATGCAGAGATACAAAGACGAGAAATACAGTAGCCTTCTGATCAGAAAGTATGAGAGACAGAAGCTAATGAAGCATTTGTCTTTAAAGTAATAGGAAACCCTATCACCCCAGAATTCCATAGCCTGTAAAAATATCTCTTGAGTATGAAGGCAAGAGAAAACATGTCCAGAAAGACAAAAACTGAGTGAATTTATTGCTAGCAAATCTACAACTGGAAAATGTTAAAAAAAAATTCAGACAAACTTTAGGTACATGTTCATCTCATTTGCCAATTGAATGAGCGACCCCACATGCCACCAGATACCACCCTTTCTAGCCCTTCTCAAAATAACCCCTGACACACACTGTGAGATAGAATACAAGGGTTGTTGTTTAAACCCTTCACTTAATTATGTATCAATTTGATGACCAGGGACAGTCTTTACTGAAAGAAACATGGTGGAGAAGAAGATATGGGTGGAAAAGAGAAAGGGGAAAAATGACAAGGAACTAGTGGAAAAGACCGAAAAATATTTTGGCTTGCCACAACAAGGTGCATCAGTGAAATCAGCAATAATTCCCTATCATTCCAAGAGGACACAGGCATCTTTTTTTGTGCTTTAGTGCTGTGTAGTAGCCATTTCGGGAAGTGTGTCCTTGTCTGGTTCTGACCTTTCATCCTAACGTTCGTGCCTCTTGGGACACTCATGTCTCAGAAACAAACAAAACAGCTGACTCCCTGGTTGGTCCAGTTAAGAGAGCAATTGCTGGGCCCTCCCTGCGCAGCGGGTTAAAGCACAGCACTGAGAAGCTAAAGCCACTTCCGCATGAGTTCGATCCCCGCCTGCCCCTGAGGTGACCACATGGCGAGGCAGACCTCTCCTGCCCCACCCGCTGCTCCCCTCAGCAGTGTACTTCATCAATCTGCCTGTTGTGCTCCCCACTCTGTCTCTGGTGAATCCTCTCACCCTCCGCATCTCTGGCCTGTACCCCAGTTCCATATGAATAAATAAATAAATCTTAAACAAACAAACAAAAAAAGAGAGCAATTGCTACCTCCTGTCTCTTCTCAGGAAGGCACCAAATTGTGGGACAGAGGGTCCGGTAGCTGCCATCCTCACACGAATGCTCATGAAGTCTGACCTTTTGGGTGTCTTGACCTTTGGACATCTCCACCACCAATGTCACAGGATGGAGTTTCTGAAGTTTCAGATTCTTTTTTCTTGCCCACCCTGGATTTCCTTAAAAAACAGCCTACAATTCTTCTCAATTTTCTTTTATTCTCAGATCCTTTGGATCTACTCCCCCACCCCAACTTTTATCATTAAAAGTGTATAGCGAAATTGAAATTCCCTCAAGTGAGAGGAAGACCTACAGCCTACAGTCCATCCTTGGATAAGGCTCGCGTGTAGAAGTGATGTGGTCTGCCCAGCTGAAGACGGAGGCCTGACTCTGAGATAGGTTTCCCTACTCACACGGGCCTCAGAGGGAAGCAGTGGCCTCTTACTGCTCTGAATAAAACCACCAGGGACAATTTCTCCCCAGATAATTAGCATTTAAAGTGCCATCTTTCTAGGCCCTTAACTGCAGACCTTGAAGGTAAAGTGACAGGTTTATGCTTTTCTGTGGTTTTCATTGCTCAAAAAAATCCATTTTCACTAGATAATTCCCTTAGCACAGATCTAGGGCATTCTCAGTCTTAAATTTGCCACAGCTTAAACCCATTCGACAGTGTCTCAATTCTGTCACCCAAGGACGGGAGCCCTGTTTGATGTACCCAGCACTCAATACCCAAACAACTACCAAGTTTGAGAGGAAAACCACAAGAAAAATTTCAGATACAAGTTTTATCTGTCATGGAGAAATCTGCAGCCAGCATCCATCCTGTCTATTGATTACGGTAAATGATGGTGATGTCGGGGAACATACAGGAAATCTCTGTATCTGTTCACGGTGACTGTGAACTCACAACTGCTTTAAACATTTTATTTTAAAAGTGAGACAGTGCCCACGATGGCTCTGTAAGCTCTCTGAACCGTGTCCCGCCTTTGGCCGCGGCCTCAAGGTGGCTGGACCACGACCACACACTCGCCCATGTTCCATCAACCCGCGTTCTAGTCCAGTGGCCAGTGACACTTCATTAGTGAGTTTTTGTTGTTGCTCAGTGTGGGGGTTTATATTTTCCTCAATTAATTTGCTAACACTTCATCTGGTCAGAGAGAGAGGGCTTATGATTATTTTCTGGTGTTAGGTGTTTCCCAATAAATTATGAATGATTAAAAAAAATTCCCCTTTCCCTTCCTTTCTTCCTGGCTGATAATGTTAATTCAGCAAGATTTTATCTTTGATGGAATTTAGAATTGAATCACTGCTTCTTGAAATTAAAGTTTTAAAATAATAAGGTGCATAATTAATCCAATTCATTAGACAGGACTACAGGGATTTACAGTTTCAAATAATTGATTTAAATTTTTTGAAATATTTTAGATCAGAGATTATATGATTAATAATTTATTTCATGAATTTTTCAGAATTTTAATCCTTTAATCAAATAAAAATGAATGTGTCAATACCGCCTTGTTCCATGCTTCATTTTTTTATTTTCAACTTGAGTTATTTTACAACATTCTTAAGAATGAGTACAATCAAAACTTTATGATATTGATATCTGAAGTCATTAAAATCTGTCTACTTAATGTATTTTGTATTTAAATATTTAAATAATTATTAAAATTACTTATGTCACTAGTATTAATATAATTTTATATTTCGAGAGCTATGTCTCATCCTTAGGGAAATACTTTTGATTACGAATAGTCATCAGGTTATCTCCTACCCAGGGCCTAGAATGGGGATGACTCAAAATGCAGAAATGCATATTCTGATAATCTCTTTCTTCAGACTATATTTAGTATGTGGAAAAGGAATCAGATGGAGCAATGATGCCAGGCAATTACATAGGCACCTATCTGAAAGCATTGATCTTACAGGAAAAAAAGACTAAAAGTAGGGAAATTTTCTGCAGGTATAAAAATAAGGCTGGGTATTTATGAGTTTGTTACAACTGTATCAGATTGAGTACAAGGAGCTAGTTACAATGTCCTGCACTTAATAGCTAAAGCCAAAATTCTTCCTGCAATTGCAGAATCACTCAAACTGCCAGGCAGCAGATAAACTGTCAGAACATGTCTGGGAGCAATGAAGCACAGGAAATAGGAAAGGTACCACTTTGAATATGCTGTTA